AGTTGTTTGCAGCGTGATTATCATTAGTCCCTGCCTAGTAGTTCCTTAGGATTTTTGTAAGCACAAATTCATTTTAATCGATCCCTTGTTTCTTCATTATTCATACATGTAGTTTGCTCCCACATCTTCGTAGTTATTCAAGTACTGCAATAAGTTTATTTGCCATTGTTGCTTCAGCTTGACTATATTGTGCGGATATCCTTAATTTGCGCGACTCTTTAAACGTCCGTTATGCTATGTTTTTTTTTCTTTTAAGTTTTACTCATCTATGTTTTATTCTATGGTTCCTTTAAATGAAATTACTTGTCTAGTTGCACTTATTTGGATCGAAAAAATGTATTTGTAGTTTGGTTCATTCATCTTGCATTTGTATTATTGGATCAGCCTGTTAACTCATTTCTCTGTATTATGTATGCATGAAATCCGCTCGAGTCCATGTAGACTTCTTCCTTATCTTTGCATTTCGGTTGGGTTGTGGAGGCCCAATACTCTTGTCTATCGAGTCAACCCATCTAGACAGAAGTGCAAATATGGAATTGCGTAGATTGAAGAAAATACAAAAAAGCGGATCAGAAGTCTTTTCTTTATTTTTGTTCCTTTGTATTTATTTGTAATGGGCATAAGCCCTTGTTGTCCTTTACTGTATTGTATTTACTTTGCGTTATCATTTGTTTGGATTAGGACAGGTACAAAAGAAAGGGTTAAAAACCCAAATAAGAAATGGGTCAAAAACCAAAAGCAGGTGGGTCAAAAATTCGGTCAAGGTGAACAGTACCCGAATTTTGACCCAAAATCTCTCTCTCTCTCTCTCTTTTATCATTCTTTTACATGTTTACTTGAATGTCGTTAGTTAGGGTTGGAAAACTCCAAACCCCCTTCGAAACGTCGATCTATTTTGTCAAAACTTACAACTAAAACGTAATTTCAAAACGATGAATATTTCAAACTTGTAAATTTATCTAGATAAAACTTTAAGTTCAAAACATCAAAACAGATTCACAAATTGCAAGATTAACTATAATGTATTCTAAAAACTTTAAAATTCGCCTAAGTAAGTTTCTAATAAGTTCAATAACAAAAGACTCGCAAAAGTTAAAATAAATAGTCAAATAGTTAATCGCCGGAAAACCGTATTTAATGGAGTATCTTCGGTGCCTTCAACACCTTCCTAAGACACTAATAGGAATCCCGAACCCTTAAAATAATTTTCAAACAATTTTCCTGTTTATGTTGTTTGGAAAATAAGTTTTCTTAATTTTCTAAAAATTAAGTGGCGACTCCTAAAAGTTGAAAATATCTTTAAAAACAAAACGAACTCTTTTCAAAATTATATTTTCCGATAAAACAGAATGTCGACTCCGCTGGGGAGGATTTGGAGGATTCTAACCTTAAGGTTAACTTGTTTGACTATATGCGATAATTGTTTACTTGTTTGAATTGTTTAGAGACTTTAGTTTTCAAAATTGCATTTTTTCATGGCATAAACTCCGCCAAATGGCAAATAGACTGCATTAGGAAATGATAGTTACGCAGCTTACCGCGACTTCTCTCAGATATACCCAAGAAGTCATTTGGGAGTATCGAATAAATAGTCAGAATGCGGTCATCCGGCGTTGTTTGATAGCTCCACCCCGATGTTTGTCTGACTCGGGTAACCGTCTATTTGAAAAACAACTCTAGAAAGCCTAAGATAGAGCAAAACCAAAACCAAAATTAGGCATCAGCCTAGGATGACTTAATACCCAAGGCGTATTAAGTCCATTTTAGTAGAAAACAACCAAAATCGCGTCTAAGGTCTTCGACCTCACGACGCATCATATTATGTGACATTCGAAATGTATGTGTGAAAACCAACTTGGGGGTAGGGGAAAGTCTAACCGGTTTCTGTTTTACAGATATGGACCGCTTCCCCAAATTTGACATGGTTGTCTCACCACCACCTCAACTTACAATGTGGCACAACGACTTAAATTGGGATCATAGGCGAACCCTCAATTATTACGTAGGGGCTTTGACCGATCTAATCGATATGGACGGTTGGCTAGAGTTGATCGAGGTGCTTACGGGTACTGGGATAGCCAGAGGATGGTCTTCCGTTTCGGAGCGCTCAAAATTACCCCTACATTAGAAGAGATAAGGGATTGCATAGACATCGTTTGCACGGGTCTAGAATGAGGAGCCCAAGAACAAGAGGATGTGTTTATCCCCAACAAACCTTCCGTAGAGAACATTGCAGATTGGTTGGGACTAAGAAAAGACTTCACCTATTGGTTTCAAGATTCCCACATGATGTTCAGAGATCTCTACGTCAGATTTGGACACGCGATTTTCTACGCCGCGTATAATCAGGAGTTTAAAATTTCCTATAGGGAGTGGAACGAGGTCCGCCCCTTGGCGTTTGCCGTGTCCTTATTGGGAAAAATGGTCTTCCTGCACGGCCCGAGTCTGAGCATCAACACCAGGGACATAACGCTCGTCCACATGTTGTTCAAGGGATACAAAAATCAAGGAACAATGAAGTACTACTCCATCGCTCTAGTCATATTTCTGACATATATCGAGCCTTGGGTAAGTGCAAAGAAGGGCATCGGTATTTCCAGGGGTGTAATCTGCTCCTCCAATGGTGGATTCTCAGCCACTTGGCGAAGGGTGCTGGAACTCGAGAATTGCACACTCTCGACAACAAGAACACTCTCAAGGACCTGAACGACTTACTATTCTGGGCAAACATGAACAATCGGAGAACAAGAAGGAGCTGGGCCCAAATTTTCTCCGAATTGAGAGAGGAGGACCTCCAATGGATGCTTGACCATTTCATATCCAAGGAAGTTGTCGTGGAGAGTCATAGATGTGTCGTGCTACCTCTACCTGGCATTCGAGGGAATTCGCCCTTACGCGTCATTCCGAGTCTCGCGACAGTTTGGAAGAAAACAGACTGTGCCCAGAAAAGCGTATTATGGCGCTTATGTATATGACATTGGGGAAGACAGAGTGGATGACGCTTCGGAAATGCTCAGAGAATGGGAGAACGCTAAGAGCATGGGTAAAGACACTAACGCCTCTGACCGATTCAACGCTGGATATGATGAAGGTTACAAAGCATGGTTGAAGAGGGATATACAAAATATCTCCTTTCAGATTCCGCATAGCTTTTGCAGTGTGACAGACAAAGAGGCCAAAGCAGTGGCCGAATTGAGAGGGTTAAAGGAGGAGGCTAATGAGGTCTATGCCAAGTTTGTAGAAAATCAAGACGCTCTTGAGAAGGCGACCCGAGAGATCAAAAGACAGAAGAAAGGGTATGACGAGTTTGACAACTAGATCCAGCAGAAAATCGAGAGGATGCGATACGAGAGTCTGGAAGACAAAAGGCGTCTGGGTGAAGGTTTTCTGTTGATGCTGAGGAACATGTTTCAGCAGCACAAAATCCAGAAAGACGACGACGGAGCAGGACCGTCCGGAGCAGCATAGTGGGCATCGCCCCTGTGCGGGTTTTTCTTTGTTTGTATTTACACTACTTTAGCCCCTGCGTGGGCTTGATTTTATTGCACTTTCTACATAGCCCCTACGTGGGTTTGTCTATTTCTCTTTTCGAACATTTTACTCATCATTAAAATTTATTTTGGGGGGGGGAATCATTTATTTGGTTTAAATTCACACGTACATCATTCGAATGCGCTAGGCCTACCCTTGGCACAAAAGGGTCCCCACATATGATTAGGACGCGATATATATATGTGTATTTAAATGCTTATGTGTTATGTTGCTTTGAATGAGGATATCGTAAACCCACTCCTACCCAAAATTCCAAAGAGTATATGGAAGCCACTATTACAAATGTCCGACCAAAACTCCCAAGTCTCAAGTTTCTCACGCAAAATCCATCTCCCATAAAACAAATCCTAAATACTGCTCTATCGTCTCAGGAAAGATGAATCACCGCTATGGACAAAGGCAAGAACGTCTAGACAGAGGTCACTGAGGAGGAATTGCGAAGAAAGATCGAGCGAGTCACTCGAGAAATTCAGAAGATTAAGGAGGAAGGACTTAAAGTAGACATGACCACGCCAATCTACAAAGCCATGGTCACGACCTTGGATGAAGATCTGGCGTCATAGATAAAAAGAAAGAAGGAGGTTGATATGGAAACCGAAAACCTAAGAAAAAGGTTAAACTTGCTTTGTTTGGAGGTACACGAAGGAAAGGCGAGAGAAGCGAAGATAGATATTGAGACTGCCGTATTGTTGTCCAGAAGTGCGGCACTTGATGAGGAATTGGCGACCCATAGCAACTTAAAGTGCGGAAAATACCTCGCCCGTGACCAGGGTGCAGATAACAGTGGCCCCGACCGTAAAGTAATTGAGGAGGACGATGAGGAGGAAATCATCTACAAGCCTCCATTTCTGACTGTTTGAAAGGAAAGGAATGACGCAGCCACAAGATGAGAAATCGCCAAAATGTTAGCTTCTAGGGATTTCAATGTTGTTTTTCAATTCCCTTGTAATCGCAATGAAAGAATGAATGAAAAGATTTCATCCTAACCCGAACTACGTTGGGCCTGAATTCTTCTTGTGAGATACGTAGGCATCCTTTCCCGGTGCGGACCCTATCACTGAAAATTTTCATTCTCCTCTGTGTTTCAAAGATACAAAGATAAGATCAATAGGCATCGATAAACAACTACAAGAAGACCATAGCTCAACGTGATTCATCCTTCCCGAGATAGCATTAAACAAACAAATTCCTGTTTGTTCAAATATATTTTCGTCCTCATTCGTGGGTTAAAATATCCTCTAACAAAGCGACTTGTGTGTTTATCTGCTTTTTGTGCGATATTATGTATTTTGTACTCCGAATATGTACTAACAAATTTGCCTCTGAGTTGTTTCACCTCTCAGGTACCTTTAGCTGATCTGTGTCGATAAAAGCTGGCAGATCACCCCTACTTCACCAGATCAAAAGGTCCCGCAGATTCCTTCCCCGGACCAAATGCAAATACAGCCATGGGAGACAACAATGAGGAAGTAAGTCGCACAGATATTGTGGTGGCTCAGCCCACCGTGGTAGAGCAAAATGAGCTAATTTCGCAACTGATGCAGCAGATAGCAGATATAAGGGTCGAGATGCAGCGAAGGCAAGACACGCCTCCACCCGGATTCGGCCCCAATTTTATCGACGCAAGACCTCCTATGTACTTCCCCTCGTCCAATGGGGATCCAACTCAGAACCACCCGTCGACACTCGTACACAACCCGTCTGGGGTAGATATGACAACCCAAAACCCCAAATATGCTTCAGTCTCCTATCAAACTCCCTCACCACTTCCAAACAACCCCCACAAATGCCATCACACCCCCAGAACACTCAAACAGCCCCACCACCCCAAAATCAGAACAAAAATCTGACCGCTTTCAACCCCCAGACACCACATCAACACTTGACCCAAAATACCAATCCCCAAAATTATTCACAAAACTATTAAACTACACAGAACGTCCTGAGCCCTTCCATAGCTCCACCCCTCCCCAAAAGGACCACGTTCCAAATCCCCGTTCCAGCTGAGCACGAGGTGCACGGTTCTGAGTATGATCATTACGAGGAGCAGGAGAGAGAGTGGAAAGCGAGGAAAGAAGCGAAGATTGACATAAAGGAGGAGATAAAAAGGGCAATGAAAGAATTGCAATGCATTCTTGACGTCGTCGGGTTAAGTTATGTGGAACTGTGCATCCATCAAGATTTCAACCTCCCTGAAGGTTTCAAAATCCCAAAGTTTGATACCTTCGGAGGGGTGGGCAACCCCATGGCGCATTTAAGAGCATATTGCGACCAACTCGTGGGAGTTGGCAAAGATGAAGCTTTGCTGATGACGTTGTTCAGCTGGAGTCTGTGCGGTGAGGCCCTGGAATGGTTCACGTTGTACGAAACTCGACAATGGCCCAGTTGGAGCACACTGGCTAAAGATTTCATGGACAGATTTGCGTACAACGTCGAGATAGTCCCTGATCGGTACTCTTTGGAGAAAATGAAGAAGAAATTCACAAATAGCTACCGAGAATTTGCATACAGATGGAGGAAAGTGGCAGTGAGGGTGAGGCCTACGATGACAGAGAAGGAGATTGTAGAGGTGTTTGGACGGGTGCAAGAACCCGAATACTATGACAGAATCATCTTGTTGATCGGCGCCATGTTTGCCGAGATAGTCAAAGTGGGTGAGACTATTAAAGATGCTCTAAAGTCGGGGAAGATAGCCCGAGTGTCTGCATCGCCTAGATCTTTCGGACTGGTGAGGAATAAGAGAGAGGAGGTTGCCGCTATTTCATACGGGGGAAGAAAAGTCCCTAGAAACTCCTTGCGTCCTCAAGATTGCCCCAAGCCTCCACCAAAGTCTCACCAAGCCTATCTTCCACAATCCAATCATTCCGGCAACTACAATGCTGCCCCCACTTATCCAGAAGCCCAAATTTTGTCATATCAGAATCCACCCCCAAATCCCCAAAATTTTCCCTCCGTATACCCAAATTACCCCCAAGCTTATTAGATCCCTCCACCTTACCAGAATGTCGCTCCCAGCTGCACTAATGTACAATCAAGATATCGAGCACCTTCCCCCAAATATCAAATCCAAACTCCAGCATATGAAAGCCCCCTCCCAAATTGCCAAGCTCCAGTGCAAAACTACCAGACAAATCCCTACCCTAGAACCCAAGCTCCTCGCCCAAATGCTCGCAGTTATCAACAAGTGCCTCCCCCTCAGCAGAGCGGGAATGATCCCTCTCGTCCCAGGTTTGAGAAGAAGCCTTCCAGAAACTTCACCGCGCTGGCTGAAAGCAGAACCAAGCTGTTCGAAAGATTATTCGCGGCCGGATACATCCACCCTGTGGGGCCCAAGCCCGTGGATGTTAACTCCAAATTCTACAAACCGGAGCAGAGATGTGCTTATCATTCCAACAGTGTTGGACATGACACCAAAGACTGCATCAATCTTAAGCACAAGATCAAGGATTTGATCGACCAGGAAGTGGTCTCCCTTAAGCCTGTGGAGCCGAACGTCAATACCAATCCATTGACGAATCATGGGGGTGGGAACATCAACATGATAGAAACTGACGAAAATGAGCGTGAAACCAAGAGGATTACTCCTGTTGTGCAGGAAAACTTGGAAAATGTTATGCCTCGTATTTTTTTTATATACGTAGTGCGCATCGTGATCTAGAAGACGTAAAGAAATATTAAGCAAGGATGTTATTTCCAAATGTGATATTAAGTATGAGTTGGCTAATGTAAGTGCCATTAAATTTAAGTGAGGGATTAATTAGTGGCTAATTTGGACTAATTTAATTCAATGGCCCCACCACTCAAGGCAAAAAAAAATTAAAAAGGGATCAGATTGTGGGCTGGCCTTAGTGGACAGGTGTAGAGGGGGGCTGCCTCCACTTCATACTATTAAATGAGGTGGAGAAATCCACTCCATGCTATATAAAGTGGTGAAATGCATTGCTGCATATCATCTTCTTCTTCACCACTTGTCTTAGGCAGCCATGGAAATGGAGAAACCAACCCTGCAACTCTTGGCCAGCAGCTGCAAATAATTTGGTTAGTAATCTCCTTGTTTGGTGTGTTAATTCTTTAGAATACCCTTGTTAATTATCCATTAATTTTAAGAAGGGGGCGTGACCAGTAGCTTAGGAAGTTTGTTTTAGTTATTGAATATACTAAGTATGAATGGAAACCATAATCGGATTATTAGTGGTGTCGTGTTGGTGCTTGGGCTATTTTGATTAAAGCAAACTGCAGGAAAATTCTATTTTGGCATTATGTATATGTTGAATGTGATTATGAGTATATACTCCAAAGGATGAATACGATAAGGTAGATGTGTTACGAATTATAAAACGAGTTATCACACGGTGTGTCGTTGCTTCGCTGATATAGTTGCCGAGATGGAATTGTTTTGGGGAGGGGGCTGTTTAATATGATTCTTTGGGTTATATGTGTTATTGGTATTGCTGTGGATAATTTGGATTGTTGTCGGATTGGGACGAAGTAAGGAAAATAGGGGAGGTGCTGCCGAATTTTCGTTAGATTATTAGCTAGCTTACAAGAAAGTAAAGCACGATGTTTATCTAATTGCGGCACGATTGTTGCTTGTTATAGATTAATAGCTTGAGCAGTAAATATTGGACGTGCGGCTCGATTATACGGTATGTAACGCTGTCCCTTCTTTCTTTGCTTGGCATGACTTTTAAAAATAAGTGAATAACGGACAGATTTGATACTTACCTCTAAAGCGTCTAGGTGATGTATATTCTTGCTTCCACAATTATTCCTCTATATATCGGCTATGTCTAAGGCTATGATGATCTCTAATATCTATGGTAATGCTTCTTAGAGTCATTGAGATTTTACGTTTCCATATCGTATTAAAGGTTCATAATCTTGATAAAACATTAATCTTTGGTAATACTCCTTGCTGGTTCACGTTGATTGTTCTATTGAGTTATAAGAAATGGTTTTTATTTGCATACGGTTGCTCATAATATTCTGCTCGTGCATAGAGTCATTTATCATTTCACCGAGTCCCGGGCCGGGTAATGTTCGTGCGGAGTTTCTTGCATATGTCACCGAGTTCCTCACTAGAGGGCCGGGTATGTATATTATATATATGATTGGTGATGAGGATGGTTATGATGATGATGATGACGGAGATGACGTGATGATTATTTTGCCGAGCCCCTTACTAGGGAAGCTGGGCACCTTAAATGTTAAATATATGCATGATTTTCACTTAAAAAGTATATGTGTAGCGATATTTTGTTTCGAGTTGCCACATTGGTATCCTGTCATCTTTACCTTATGCTTTACATACTCAGTACATTGTCCGTACTGACCCCCCTTTCCTCGGGGGGCTGCGTTTCATGCCCGCAGGTGTAGACGCGCAGTTCGGTGATCCTCCCGCCTAGGATATCTACTCTGCTGATTGGGAGAGCTCCACTGTTCTGGAGCCCAGTCGTTTTAGTACATAACTTTTGTGTAGTCTTTTGCTCGTCTATGGGTATGGCGGGGCCCTGTCCCGTCGAGTTTCACTAATGTACTCTTAGAGGTCTGTGGACATTATGTGGGTTGTATATATATGTTTTGGATAATGGTCTGGACATGGTTTGTTTGGGATGTCCGTTTGTACAGGGGCAGCCTTGTCGGCTGCGTACATCATTATGCTTTGAATAGTGGCGGCCTTGTCGGCTCGCGTATGCTGTTATGGTTGAACGGTTATGACTCCTTATGAGACAGATCCTCTTATATATATATATATGACGTTGGGGTTGGCTTGATTTGATTAAATTCCATATTGTCTTAGTTTCAGTTGGTCATACTTAGCAGGTTTGTATGTGGGTGTCCAAAACGGGCACTAATCACGGCCTATCGGGTTGGGTCGTGACAAAGAGTGGTATCAGAGCGGTTCTTCCTCAGAAGTGTCTACAGACCGTGTCTAGTAGAGTCTTGTTTATCGGTGTGTTGTGCACCACATCTATAAACAGGAAGCTACAGGACATTTATGATGTCATTCTTTCTTCTTATTCTAGATCGTGCGATAGAGCTATATTAACAGGATAATCCCTCTCTAACGAATCCGTGTGTTTTCAGCTATGCCTCCAAAGAAAGTGACAGCCGCCCAGAAGGGAAAATCAGTAGCAGAAGGTACTAGTCAGACCCGGAGAGTTACTAGGGCCCGTGCCCAGTCTATGCCTGGTATTATGCTCCAGTCGGAGAGCTCTGCTACACCCCCACTGCCAGAAGAGCTTAGAGCAGCAACAGCTCCAGTTCGGGGGACACCACCAGCCCCCGAGGCCCCAACATCTGAATCTCCAGCTCCTCAGTCAGGGGCGGAGGATAGGGCCATGAGAGATGCGGTTCAATTGCTGACTAGATTAGTGGCAGATCAGGCTCGCAGGCATGGACTAGGAGTTGATCATGCGGACAGATCTGATAGCTTAAGGGCTCGTGACTTCTTAAGTTGTAATCCTCCAGAGTTCTTTGGGTCAAGGCCACAGGATGATCCGCAAGAGTTTATTCGTCAGATGCAGCGTACATTGAGGATAATCAAGGCTTCGGAGACCGAGTCTGTTGAGTTGGCTACGTATCGTTTGCGGGATGTAGCTATTAATTGGTATGAGTCTTGGGAGTTATCTAGGGGTGAGGGTGCCCCTCCAGCGGTATGGGATGAATTTGTGGAGGCTTTCCAGGGCCACTTCCTGCCTCCAGAGATGAAGCGAGCTAGAGTCGATAAATTCTTGCGTTTGAAGCAAAATGGCAGGAGCGTTCGAGAGTATAGCCTCGAGTTTGATTCATTGGCTAGGCATGCGCCTACTATTGTGGCTGATATGGCAGACAGGGTACATCGTTATGTGATGGGATTGGATCGTTATCTGATTGACGGTTGTATGGCAGTGACTCTTCAGCCAGGTATGGACATTGCTCGGGTGCAGGCATATGCACAGGGGGTAGAGGATCGGCACAGGGGACGTCAGCCACATAGAGATTATGATAGAGGCCAGCATAAGAGGGCTAGATCAGCAGGTTATCCTGATGAGTTTCAAAGCGGGCAGTCTCAGCAGCATGTTAGATTTTCTTCCCAGCCAGCACAGAGTGCACCCCCACGTTTCATGGGTAGGGGGTTCGATCGTATGGGATATTCGGAACCTGGTCAGAGCTCTAGGGCGTCAGGGTCACAGATGGGCAGGGGTTTGAGCCAGTCGAGGCCACCTTTGCCTCGGTGTTCTCGTTGTGGTAAGTCCCATCCTGGGGAATGTCGTTGGGCTACAGGTGCGTGTTTTTCTTGCGGCCGTCAGGGCCATACTATGAGGGAGTGTCACCTTAGAGGTAGTGCAGGTGGTATGGCACAGCCTACAGGGTCCGTTGCTGGTTCATCTTCTTCTGTGGCTATGCGCCCTACGGGGCAGGGTATTCAGGCACCAGCAGGCCGTGGTAGAGGACGTGGTGGAGCTTCCAGTTCTAGCGGTCCCTCAAACCGTATATATGCTTTGACTAATAGGCAAGATCAAGAGGCGTCACCTAATGTGATCACAGGTATATTATCACTATTCTCCCGAAGTGTGTATGCATTGATAGACCCAGGTTCCACCTTATCATATATATCTCCCTTTGTTGCTAGTAGGATCGGAATAGAGTCTGAGTTGATAGAACCATTTGAGGTAGCTACACCTGTAGGAGATTTTGTCATAGCTACGCGAGTATATAGGAATTGTTCAGTAGTTATATATAGTCGTCATACCGTAGCAGATCTAATAGAGTTAAATATGATTGAGTTTGATATTATCATGGGCATGGATTGGTTGGCTGCTTGTTATGCTAATGTTGATTGCAGAGGAAAGATAGTTCGATTTCAATTTCCAGGGGAACCGATTATAGAGTGGAAGGGAAGTACAGTATCGCCGAAAGGTAAGTTCATTTCATACCTCAAGGCCGGGAAGATGGTTAGAAAAGGCTATATTTACCATCTGATTAGGGTGCATGACATAAAGGCAGAGGCACCGACTCTTCAATATGTCCCGGTAGTTAATGAATTTCCTGATGTATTCCCCGAGGAACTTCCAGGCCTTCCTCCAGAATGGGAGATAGAGTTTACTATAGATGTACTGCCAGATACCCAGCCTATATCTATACCTCCTTATAGAATGGCACCTGCTGAGTTGAAAGAATTGAAAGAGCAATTGAGGGATTTGCTAGAAAAGGGCTTCATCAGGCCTAGTACGTCACCTTGGGGAGCACCAGTACTGTTTGTGAGGAAGAAGGATGGGTCGCTGCGGATGTGCATTGATTATAGGCAGTTGAACAAAGTAACAATAAAGAACAGGTATCCCCTCCCAAGGATTGACGATCTATTTGACCAGTTGCAGGGTGCAAAGTGTTTTTCAAAGATAGACTTGCGGTCAGGTTATCATCAGGTGCGGGTAAGGGAGGCAGATATTCCAAAGACAGCATTCCGGACCCGATATGGGCATTATGAGTTTAGAGTGCTGTCTTTTGGGCTGACTAATGCTCCAGCGGTGTTTATGGATTTAATGAATCGAGTATTTAAACCATTCCTTGATATGTTTGTTATTGTATTTATAGACGATATTCTGGTCTATTCACATTCAGAAGAGGAGCATGCAGATCATTTAAGGACGGTACTTAGGGTGCTTCAGCACCAGAAGTTGTATGCTAAATTTTCTAAGTGCGAGTTCTGGTTGACTTCAGTGGCATTCTTGGGGCATATTATTGGAGCTGATGGTATTCGGGTAGATACGCAGAAGATTGAGGCAGTAAAGACTTGGCCCAGACCTACGACACCTACTGAGGTACGCAGCTTTTTGGGGTTAGCAGGATATTACAGGAGATTCGTAGAAAAGTTTGCCTCAATTTCAGTGCCTTTGACAAGGCTAACTCAAAAGGCAGCCAAGTTCCAGTGGACAGATGCTTGTGAGCGACGCTTCCAGCTATTAAAAGACAAATTGACTACAGCTCCAGTCCTAACTCTTTCAGAGGGACCAGACGGCTATGTTATTTATTGTGATGCTTCGGGTGTTGGGCTAGGATGTGTATTGATGCAGCATGGCAAAGTTATAGCCTATGCCTCCCGACAACTTAGGAAGCATGAAAAGAACTATCCTACTCACGATCTGGAGTTAGCGGTCGTGGTTCATGCCTTGAAGATATGGAGACATTATTTATATGGTGTCCATGTGGACATCTATACAGATCATAAGAGTCTCCAATATATCTTTAAACAGAAGGAGCTGAACTTACGACAGAGGCGGTGGTTAGAGTTGCTAAAGGATTATGATGTTGATATTTTATATCATCCAGGGAAAGCGAATGTTGTAGCAGATGCTCTTAGCCGTAAGTCCATGGGTAGCTTGACAGATGTACAACCAGAAGGGAGGGATATGGTTCGGGAGATTCAGCGGCTA